TGTGTCCTCCCTACACATCCCTCTCTTGGGCTGCTGGAAGAGCCTCTGTCAGATGATCTACAGAGGCTGTTTCTGTTTGGGGAGCCAAAACGCCAGCCCCAGCACACTGGAGCCTGACTCCCCATCCTTCCGTTTCCTCGGCGTTTGGGGTTTCGCAGACGATAGCACCGCTCTCCTCGCGTGTCCCGCTGCAGAACAGCTTTCCTGGCTGGACGCGTGCCCCGTTCCTGGCTGCAGGGAGCTGGGCTGCAGCAGGGACCTGGGCCACGGGGAGAGACCCTGGGGGTGCTGCACCCTGGCACCTGCTGAGGGTCGGTACCGGTAAATGACAGCCCTTGAGACCCAGGGATTTCTTAGGAAGTTGAGTTTTTCTCTTTGCAACTGGTCAGAAATCAAAGGGATTCGGAATCCGCGGAGCACGAGCTCGTGAAGGGTTGGTTTGGGGCTGGTGCCTGGTTTGGCTCTGCGCGGGGTGTGCATCCGTCTGGGCAGTCCTTTGCGTCCCGCTCCACCTGGAGGGATGAATCTCGGTTTCGGTGTTTGCCGTGGCCTGGGCCGGGTTTGCGGCGCTCCCCCAGAAGCCCAGCGTGCGCTCGCCGCAGTCGGTGCTGCAGCCTTCGCTCGGCGAAGAGGAGCTGCCTGAAGGCCAGGCCGCCTGCGCAGAGCGGCTCCCAGGCAATAATCCGCCCGGGCCCCTCACCCCAGCGCTGCCGCGTTCCGGCGCTGTCAGCGTGCGCTTCCAGCTGGGCAAAGAAGATTCCTAAGGAATGATTTATTAACTATAATATGGTTATAGTTACATACATATAAATATATAGATAATGGTTATAGTCATATATAATAGAAGGCGTGTGAACGGGCAGGGCTGTTGCATCTCGCGTGCCGCTCTCCGACACCCGAACGCTGCCCCGCTGTCCCGGCCACGGGTGACCAGCGCAGGGAACCCTGCAGATACCCGGGCAGCGGGAGCACAGCCTGGGTGTGTTTGTCATCTTTTTCTTGCAGTAGAATTTACGCTTCCCTTTCTGACAGCGGC